GGCAGGAGGGCAGGAGGGCAGGAGGGGCAGGAGGGCAGGAGGGGCAGGCAGGCCAGGCCCGTGGGACAGGAGGAGCAGGTGGGGCGGTGGGGCAGGTAGGGCAGGTGGTGGAAGTAGCTGCTCCAGTAAGTGCTTGAATGTGAATATTTTGTTTTTATTTATGAGACAAAGATAGAAACACACACACATGCATGCAGAGAGACAGGGAGGAGGGGAGAGAGAGGGCTCCCACCCACTGCCCACTCCAATGACAGCAGCCTAGGCTGGGCCAGGAGCTGGGAACTGGCTCCAGGTCCCCGGTGGTGGGTGGCAGGGACCCAAGTGCTGGGGCCACCACCACTGCCCACCGGATGAAGCCAGATCCAGGATATGAACATGTGGGTGTGGGCTGCACCTCTACTAGGCAGAAATACAGACCTTGGTGAGTGAGTTTCTGAAATGACAGTCATGCCTGCGTCGAGGTACGTGAGGTCAGGGGTGAGGGGCAGCCTGGCCTAGCATCCTGCCTCAGCAGAATGACTGAAGCTTGGGCCTGGGGACAGCCCTGTGCTGGACCTGGGCTGGGCTCCTCTGCTGGCGGCTGGGTGAGACCAGCCCTGGGCTGAGGCCAGGAGGACAGGACCAGTGCGTCCTCCCGGGGCTGCCCTGGACCTGGGCTGGGCTCCGAGCTTGATGCCGTGCCCTGCCTGCCCACCAGCTCTCTCCCAGAAAAAAAAACCGTCCTAGCAGCTGAGTGGCAGCCAGGGCCTGGAGGCAGTGCCAGGAGCCATTAGGCCTTGGAGTGGCACAGGCGGGCAGGTCTGCTCTCTGTAACCCCAGGGCTCCAGCAGTTGTAAACCAACGACCACGGGGACTGGGGCCTCCTGTGTACCTGGCTCGGGTGGGCTCGAGCATGCGCTGGAGGGTCTTTGAGTAGCCAGAGTCCTCTGGGGATAATGAGAGGGAGGGCACAGGGCTCCAGCTGGGGACCAGCCAGTTCTCGTGCCGTGCAGAGGGGGACAGCGGGCCTGATGTTGACAGGAGGCTGGCGTCATCGTCCAGGTGCGCCTTGGGGAGTCTTCCAGCACTGGGGGGGTTCCCTGGCCATGGCAGCGGCATGGTCCCCTGGCCGTGGCTGGCCTTTGCATGCTGGCAAAGATGGAAGAGGGAGGGGCCAGCGCCTAACAGCTGGGCGACACTGGGGCTGCCGAGCCCCTGTCCCAGCTGTCTTTGGGGTGTGCACACAGTTAATTACTGTTTTGCTGGAAACATTGCTTTTATTAGTAATCCTTATGGGGTAGCGTTCCTGGCTTATCTCTCAGCCGGCTTAGTGGTGTTTTTTTTCCTTGGCTGGACCTATCTGATCTCACTGTTTATTTACTCGACTCCGGGTTCTCGGCAGCCCTTTGGGGAAGCGAGTTATTATCCTTGTTTATCAGTCGACACAATGTATTGAGTGCCTGCTCATCCTCCCACTCGGCTGGAGAGGCAGCTCTCGCGGGAGCAGCTGGCGGCCTCGGTAGGTCCTGCCTGTCTGCCCGCACTGCTGCCTGCGCCTGGCAGGTGCTGGGAGGAGCAGGAGTGCCAGGCGTCCAGGGCCTCCTCCCAGCCGGGCTCCCTGTGTGTGCTTCCGGGAGAGGACATGGGTGCCCCCTTCCCCAGGGCACCCCGCGGGCTTCTGTGCTGTGTGTGGGGGAGGCTTGGCACCCAGCCTGCTTGGCTTCCCACAGTGGGAACGTGGTGTGGGTGAGCAAAGGCCACACCCCGTTGACACCTGGCCTCGCGTGGTTGCCCCACGCCTGCAGCAGGGGGAGGGGCTGCTGGCGGGCTGCCCCCAGCTCCCCTGGCTGCACTGGGTTGGTGTGGGAGTGAACCCTGCAGGTGTTGTGTTTTTAGGGGCAGCCAGTTGGACTCGGAGCGGGTTTACAGCCGTGTTCCCATTACCTTTACGAGTCGTGTGGTGAAGCTTTTCTTGTTCTGTGAGACACACACAGGAGGGTGGGAGATGCTGAGTCACTCCCCAGGCCAGGGTGGGCAGCCAGAGAAAGCAGCCCCAAAGAGAAGGCCCCATGCTCCTGGGATGTCCAAGGAGGGGGAGGGTGGGAGTGGCGGAGCCCTGGACCCTGAGTCAGGGCTGGGAAAGGGACCCAGCGCCCACCCACCTGTCTCAGAGGCGGAGGCCTGGGAGGGGTGTGGAGCAGGCCTGGGTGGAGGTGCCACGGGCAGGCATGCAGGCGTGTGCTTGACCCCAGCCCCCCGCAGGGTCTGCCCAGCTGGCTGCCCACCCAGCCTGCGTCCGGGGGCTACTCCCACCTTAGGAACCAACTGCCAGAGTGGAACTTGGAGGTTCCAGTCCGAGGGCCAGCGCCCAACAAAACATCCCTCACACCTACTATGGGGTTTGGGCCCTAGTGGGTCCTCGCTTTTTGCTCTGTGGCTCACGCTGCAGCTCCACCCAGCAACAAAGTGGCCCCTGGCCGCCCTCGGGGACCCAGGTGGGTGCGCCGAGACTGAGCCAAGCACCTGGAGGGAGGCCCACCAGGGCTGGTTCCTGGAGGTTCCCTGGCCTGCTGGGGGACCCTGCAGGGAGACTCAGTGGCTCCCTTTGGGTCTGTACACACACTCCTGCCCCCCTAGGGTCTTGCTGTGGCCGCCCTCTCGTGCCGGAGGCTCCCAGCATGCTCCTCCTGGGGTCACCCAGGACGGTCATAGAGCAGATGAGGGTCATGCGTCCTCGCTGTGCAGAGGAGAGGCCGTGTGGGAAGGACACATGGGGGTGTGGACGGCCCCGTCTCTGTGCGCCCCGTGGGTGCCCTCAGGTACTCACTCTGTGTGTGCCAGGCTGTGTGTGTGCTGGGTGGCTCCTGCTGGGGTGGCAAGGGAATGCAGCCTGTTGAAGCGCTGTGGCCCGGGCCGCACTGCCACCCCAGTGCTGGTGCTGGCCTGGCCGGTGGGCCAGGGAGGACGCTTAGGGAGGAAGGGCATGCTTTGAGCCACACAGGACGTGTGCCTGCGGTGCAGTCCCAGCAGGCGGGCCACATCCATGTGGGCCTGACGTGGAGGGCCACAGCCCACGCGAGGAGCCACGGGGACTCTTACGTGTGCGTGGCTTTAGACAGTGTTTATTTTATGACGTTTTATAGTGTGCTTTCATGAAGATAATGTATCTCCTGACTCTTAACACATTTTTCTTAAGATTTATTTGCTTATTGGAAAAGCAGAACAAGCGAGAGAGGAGGGAGCGGGAACTTCCCCCGCTGGCTCTTTCCCCAGGTGGCCAAGGGCCAGCCCGGAGCCAGAATCCCGTCTCCCATGTGCGACAGGAGCAGCAGCATCTGGGCTGTCTTCGCCAGCCTTCCCAGGTGCTTCAGTAGAAGCTAGATGGGAAATGGAGCAGCTGAGCCTTGAACAGTCACTCAGATATGTGGTGTCAGCTTTGCAAACTGAAGCTTAGTCCTCAGGGCCACAATACCAGCCCTGTGGTTTCTGATCTCAAATCTCTGTGTGGCCACATGGAGGGTTCCACTGTTGTCAGAGTGGCCCAAATCCAGAACACAGAATAGCAGGTGCAGTGAGCTGTGAACGGCAGGGCACAGCCGCTGGGAAGGCCTTCACGATTTATGCACACCCCCATTTTATGTCTGCTGGTTTACTCCACAAGTGGCTGCAATGGCCAGGTCTTAGCGGGTGACAGCCAGGAGCCAGGAACTTCATCTGTGTCTCCCAGTGGGTGCAGGTACCCAAGCACAAGGGCTGTCTTCCACTGGTTTTTCAGGAGTTTTAGCAGGGAGCTGGATCAGAGTGAAGCAGCTGGGACTCGAACTGGTGCCTCAGTGGGGTGCTGCTGTCAGAGACTTAACCCACTGTGCCACAATGCTGGCCCCTGGCAGCTTCTTGACAAGGGGAGCTTCCTTTGGCAGTGTGTCCCACCAGTCAGGCTCTGTCCTGCTAAACCAGAGCAGGTGGGCACGTGTGTCTGCACAAGCCTGAAACTTCATTCGCAACTCGCAAACTTGGCAGCTACCAGGATATCCTCGTGGAGAGCAGAGAAGCTGTGGGCAGTGTGTGGGCCAGGCGGTGCCTCTGTGCTGCCCTGAGGCCGGGATGGCATGTGGGGGCACCTACATGTGTGTGTGCTAAGAGGAAGGTGGGCAGAGAGAGCTTCATGACGCTGTGTCCCCGTCACAGGCAGGGCCGTGTGGACCGTAAGACCAGTGGAGATGGGTGGGGAACACGGGGTGGAGGCAGCAAGCCCTGTGGGTGGTGCCACAGCTGTGGACCTGTGCCCTGGACCTTGGCGCCAGCCCACAGGATGTGTGCCACCAAGACTGAGCCTGATGGAGCTGGTGGACCTGGTTACTGTGCTGTCACCACTGGCTTATCCCTGGGGACAGGGCTACAGGAGGAAGTGGGGGAGCTGGGGCTGGGCAGTGCCTGGAACGCCCGAGCTTTCTGCTCGTGAGCTGAAATCAGTCCTATAGGAAATGAACGTCATTAGATGCATGTCTGAGCATCCGGGAGGCGGAGCTGGCCGGCCGGGGCTGGGGACGGGTGCTGGAGCCGGGTGTCAGGAAGGCAACCTCACTGTGTGCAGAGCTGCGTGGAAGGCCTCAGTGGAGGCATGTCACCTGCTTCCACCTTTAGGCTGAGCAGCTTCTTGGAAACACAGGCTCAAATTCAGGGGAGCCCTGAGCAGCCCCCAGCTGAGGGCTGGACACAGCAGCCAGACTGGCCCAGCATGTGGGAGTGGGGGGCCTGCAGGGCCTGCCCCGCCCCACCACTCCTCCCCGGCCCATCCACTGACAGCAAGACCCCAGCCATAGCCTGACCCTCATCCCGCCCCCACCCTGCCACATTACCACTTGTCTCTCCTGAGGGCAGTGGCGCAGGCGTGGGAGTCCAGTCTGGGGCTGGCACCCTTCTTGCTGTCTTCTGGGTTTGCTGTCCTCAGAGTAGTGTGCACCTGCAGCCTGCGTGGTCAGCCATGCCCACCCTGCTGATTCCCGCCCTTCTCTCTGCAGGGTTTTGCCATGGTAGCCTCAAGCCGGCCAGCAGTCCTGCTATTGCCATTGCTGCTGCCGCCATGGTCTCCGTGGACACCGAGGGCCTCCGGGGCCCATCACCAGCTGTGCCGCCGTACCACTTCCTGACGTGGGCGCCCATCACCATGCCCCTGCGGACAGTGTCCTTCTCAGGTAGGCTGCTGGCAGGGGGGCGGGGGAGCTTGCCATGCCACTCGCCACGTCCTCCCAGCCAACTAACACCGGGCCTGGGCACCAGTGGCGGACAGGCGAGCTCAGTTCTGGGCTCGGCGGTGTGCTGGGCTGGGGTCCCTGAGGTTTGCGGGCTCCCAGATGCCCCAAGATGCCCTGAGCCCTCGGTGGTCCCCTGGCTGATGTTGGGGAGCCGTTGGCAGAAATGAGGCTTCCCTTACTTGGCTTGGGGGAGCATGTGTGGGCGCCGTCCTCCCGCGGAGCTCGCATGGGCGGGCATGGGCGCCATCCTGCAGACCATGCTGCACACACATGGGCGCCGTCCTCCTGCGGAGCCTGCATAGCTGCTGGGTACTGTCCTCCCGTGGAGTAGTCTGTGTCCACGGTGGCACATGGCTGGCACTGTCGCAGACACCTCTGCATGCTTACCTTGGGGCCTGGCAGACATGCCCTGTTTGCCTCCTTCTTGGGTTCCGGTAGTTGGTTTTGCTCGCCGCCATCCTGACGTGGTCCCTTTCCACCCAGGAGTGTGGACGGTCAGAGTTCCGTGATTTATTAGTGACCAGCAGGGCACTGTCCGCAAGAGCAAAGTTGGATTTCTGTCGCAGCACACCAGTGAGTGTGTCTGGGATTTGATGGGGAGTGAGACGCAGGATGGTGTGTGCGTGGGCGGTGACCGACAGCTGCCCTGTGATGCTGACATGGCTGTGACCTGGTGTGTCTCAGGAACACGCATCCCGGGCCTGTGTGCACCCGGCCTTGCCCCGTAGGTCTCCCGTGTGGTCTGTCAGGTGGGGAAGGATCTGGCGTTTGTCCCTCTCTGCATCTTGCAAGGTTCTGAATCTCGTTGGCCGTAATGGACATCCAGTCCAGGAGGGGAGAGATGCACCTTGCAGGGCTGCAGGGCGCTGTCAGGGTGGCTGTGGCCAAGATGAAGCGGTGTGCTTACAGGTCGTGACCTTGTCATTGACAATGCGGCTGAGTCCCTGGGCCAGGGCCGGCTCTGAGGGAGCTGTCGGGTCAGTCTTGGGCTCCTCCCAGACTGGCCTTCATGCCGCCTCCTGGGGCCATGCGGGCACCTGTGGCGCGAGCTGCTTACACAGAAGGGAAGGGCGGGGCTTTGCGAAGGAGAGAGGTGCGGCAGGGTTTTCCTCTCTAGGCATGCCTGGGCGAGCTGACGTCAGCCTGTCCTGTGGAGGGGGTTGTGACAGCAGTGTCCGCACAGGGCAGGCTGCAGGCCAGAGCAGGAGAGCGGTCCTTGCTGTGCAGGCTGTTCCACGCGTGTGTGGTCAGCCAGAGCTCATGCCGTCTGCCTGCCTGCAGGTGGATGTCCTGGAAACATAACAGCACTCATGGTTTCAGAGATCTATTTATTTATTTGATGGAATCAGAGGGAGTGGAGGAGGAGAGAGGTTGGGGTTCAGACAGGCGCTGAGGCAGGCTGAAGGCAGGAGCCAGGAGCTTCTTCCAGGTCTCCCAAGTGAGTGTGGGGACCCAGGCCCTTTGAGCATCTCCTGCTGAGTTCCAGGGCATTAGCAGGGAGCTGGGTCTGTGGTGGAGCAGCTGGACTTCAGCCAGTGCCCATGTGTGATGCCAGTGCTGTGGTGTGGACTCAGCCCACTACACCACAGCACTGATTTCAACAGTTTTCTTCTTAAACAGAAGAGCCAGGTGAGAGTGTATTCACACCCGGCGTTTGGGACTGGCCTTGGAGCCCTGGAGTTTGGGTGATGGTTCTAGGCTGGGCGGGTTGTTCACTAAGGTGTTCGGCACTGGCTGGGGACTTCTCGGTTGTCAAGATGTGGCAATTTGGGGTCTTGTGGGCGAAGGTGGGGAGAGCCGTCACAGCTCCCACCAGACTGGCCCCAGGATATGGGTTGGACAGTGAATGGGATGAGCAGGACCATGGGACTCATGGCACCCAAGGCCCAGTGTTGTGAGCTGCGGTCTCCAGACGGATGCAGTGTGACACGCACAGGGCCTGCGGTCAGTCCCAGTGGCCACCAGCGAGGCTCCTCCCACGGCGGTCCCAGGATCACCTTCCAGGTGCCCTCCACAACCGAGCCCAGTGATCACCAGCTAGGCGTCCCCCATGGCTGGTCCATGACCGCCAGTGAGGTGCCCTCCATGGCCCCTTCTTCATCCATGGCACTCATGACACTGCTGGGCCTGGCAGCTCTGATCGCTGGGCACCTGGGTTCCCTGGACACCCTGTTTATGCGCCTGTCCCCTTCCTGGGCTGTCCCTGCCCTTGCACAGACCAGGTGGTCCTTCCTGCTGGCCCAGCCATCTGTGGTCCCTGGGCTGAGTCCGGCCTGCTCATCCCTTCACACGGCTCGTGACCCTGGGTGTTGCATTCTGCTCCGCTGTGACACGGTGGCATGGAGGGCATTGGCACTCAGCAGGTGTGCCTATAGGGACCACCCAGTCCAGACTGCACTGCTTTCCTGAAGCCAGCAGATGAGGGGGCATTTCCTGGGTGGGCTGGGGCAGCTGGAGGCAGCAGTAGAGCCTGGTGGCGATGAGCGCCCCCCACCCCTGTCTTCCTGAGGAGGTTGTGGCCGGGTGGCTTGCCCCACCCAGGCTGTGATTGACCTCAGGTCTCTCTTGAGTCTCTCACCTGTTCCTCACTGTTTGAGGAGCCAAGGAGAGTGCTGGAAGCGGGAGGGGCTCCCTGGGACCATCCAGGAGCAAATCTCTGACCACCACCCTGTGCCAAGGACTCCAGGGCTGCTCCGCTGCCTGACCTGTTGGATGGAACTGAAACAGCGGTTTGTCTATCAAGAATGAGGGTGCTTGTTTTTAAAGCTTGGCCCGCCGCATCTTCAGCATCCAAGTGAGCAAGGGATGCAGGAGTGGGTGGCTGTGGTCTTCAGTAATGCAACCGACTGTCAGATCCAAATATTAAGAAGTGCCAGCTGCCTGGGAGGCCATTGGCCACCTGTTCCTTTGCTTCCAGAACTACTTAATGGCCCACATTTAACATTTTGTCCTGCCGCAGAGCAGCTGGGAAGAGCTTTTTTTTTTTTTTTTTGTTCCTATTAGTGACTCACCAGCCAAGCTCCATGGCAGTCAGCTACGTCTCCAGGCCAGGGCTGGGCCGTGTGCACTCCGCATGGCTGTCGGCTCCCCTATCAGCGGAACCTGCAGGTGCCGGAGTAGGTTCTGCGGTGGCAGCGATCCAGCCATTTGGGGAGGAAGCTTGATGTTAATCCAGGAATTGTTTTCTCCTCCAGGATAATCAGAAGTGTCATAATACATATTAGCAAGGCGGGTGCTGGGCGCAAAGACGGTGATGCTGTGACAATGTAGTTGCTTCTACCCAAGGACAGAGGAGCCATGGCAGGGAGGAGCCGCCAGAACGGCGTGTTCAGGGCAGCTGCCTGGGAACAGGAAGGGACTCGGGATCTGAGCTAAGTCTGGCTGCAGGATGGGGCAGCAGGAGCCAGGTTCCTAAGGAAGTGTGCACTGTGGGAGAGGGCCCTGGACTGAAGTCTGATGGTGTCAAGTTAGCTGACGGTGGATGGTAACTTAGTATCCATGAGAAGAAGGCTGGCAGCAGGTGTCCACGTGGGCTGGGAAGGTGCAGATCTCCCAGTAGGGTCTATAGGGGGCGCTGGCTCCACGTGGCCTTGGTCCCCTCCTGCACCACGGAAGGAGCTCCTAGAAGCTGGGGCTCCCAGCGAGGGGACCCCTTCCCTGCTGCTCTCCACCCTCCCCACTGTGAGCTCCAGGTCACTCTGATTCGGAAAAGAAAAATGGGCTCCATAGCACACGTACACAACTCCCGTCCCAGATACAGAGATGCCGCCCTCTGAGGCTGCAACGGGGCCCCGCCGGCCCCGGGGGCGGCCTGTCTCATGTGTCTGCCGGTCCTGCATGGGTCAGGCCTGTCTCCAGTTCTGCATGTCATCGCTGCTCCTGCGTCCGTCCGTGTCTGCTGAAAGTCGTCGCTGTGCTGCTCCCAGCCTCAGCACAGTGGCGTGGGTCTCTGTGTAGCTGTTGTTCCGGGAGCCTGTGCCATGAGTGCCGGCTGGGCGTGGGCGTCGGACCATCCAGCGTCATCCCTCCTTCCCCCAACCCTCCGGTCCTCTCCCCGTTTTCCTTCCTTGGCGTGCTTGCGCAGGATGCTAACTGCCGCTGCCGGGGGCCGCCCGCAGGTGGGTGCTTGCCCTGCCCAGCCACCTCTCCGGCCTCTCCTTGTGCAGTGGAAGGCATGGTCTCCAACCCCTTAGTTCTGTAAATAAAAACATAAAGAGGGCTTCTGCGGTGGTAGACATGGCAGAAACAATGTGTGGCGGAGGGCTCGGCAGGGACCATGTGTGGCGGAGGGCATGGAGAGTGACGTGGCTGAGGACGTGGCAGTCCCGTGAGGATGTGTGGCTTAGAACATGCAGAGGTGTCTGATGGGCCTACAGCCCCCTGTGGCGGGCGAGTGTCCCCGCTCCAATGTGCCCCATGGGTCATCAGGAGGACGCCGCTCAGGAGGACCGTGTCACCTGTAGCCTGGGCGTGAGAGAGCCGGTGTTGCTCCCAGGGCCAGATGCCTGGGACCCGAGGCAGGTGGCCTGAGCAAACACTCCCAGGAGTGCCTGTGTGCAAAACCACATGGTGTGTCTCTCCCTGCGCAGTTTGGCTCTGCAGGTCAGCTGGGAGCGTGGCCGGGGTGTGGCAATGCTGTGCCTCCCTTGCAAGCGCTGGTGTTGGCTGTTGGTCCCCAAGGTCATCAGGGCTGCTGAGCAGCAGGGCCGGGACCCCCAGGGCTGCGGAGCTGCGGGGGGGACCCCATAGAGCAGGTGCTGCCGTTACTCACATGGCTCCCACAGCCTCCCTCGGTGGGCTTCAGTTGCACTCTGCCCGTGCCGCCAGCGTGTCCAGGCAGTCTCGTCCCCTGCCCCTCACACCCTTGGGAGCTTGCGGAGTTCCCTGGCTTTTCCCAGCCCAGGTCAGGCATGGGAGGGAGTGGCTGAGGCCAGGCCGGT